GATTTCCCTTGATCTCCCTGAATTTACTGTTGCCTGGCCGGGGGGGGGGGCAGGGGGGGGGGGGGTCGTTCCAGTGTCCCCTATGCATTTCTGGATAGGGAGCAACCAACATCTCCCCGTGCTCTGCGGGGTTGGCCCAGTCGCGCAGCCCGTGTCCCATCGCTGTCCCGCTTGGCTGAACAGCCACCTCTGCCCAGGAGCTCCCTCCCCGGTGGCTGCCACTCCTTGGGGTTGATGCCACCTCAGACTGCATCTGGAGTCCGGTCTGCCCAGGTTGAACGAGGCCCTTCAAATGCTTCTCCTGGGAAGAGAGGACTTTTATTTTCAATGGCTGCGCTCAATACCAGTTTAAACAAAGTGTTTAAATTGCAATGTTTTTACACGCTTGATACTGCTTTATAGGTGTTGTGGTTTTAATTGTTCGGCTTGTTTGGGCTTTGAGATTGGCACAATCCAAATTTTAAAAAACACAGTTTGTGCCACCAGTTTGTCCATTGGAGAGTCACGCTTTCTTAAACAGGCTCCATAGGAGGGTTGGCAGCACCACTGTGAGTCACTTGCTGGGGCCCCTGGACCACTCCTGTTATGGCGCAAGGCGGGCAGCGCTTGGAGCTGCCCCTGTTTGCAGTGGGGGAGGCTCCGTTGAGTGGGGCAGCTACCCAGGATGGGGAGCTGAGGGCATTGAGAGAGGCGGGCTTCGATTTTTAAAGGCGTTTACGCTGACCCTACAGTCTGGCTCCGTCTTGCGCTGGCAGCTGGAGGGCTGCCCCGCTCCGGCAGCGCCATTCCAGAGCCTCGGCAAGGAGGCACTCTCGGGAGCGCACGTCTGGTGGCCACGCCTCTCCTGGGCCCTCTTGCCCACCCTTGCAGGCATCTCCTCTCGAATGGAAACCGGAGGACAGGAAGTCCGGATGTTCAACTGGGCGAGGCAGCGGCTTAGACCGGAGCCAGGGATGTCTGCAGGCGAAGTCAAAAAAGTCAAACTGGTGGCTGCAACCTCCCCTTTTAAAACATGTCCCAGAGGAGGTAAACAAGGGACAGAGCTGCAGTCCTGTGGTCACGGATGCCATCTTGACTTTTTTGACCCTGTGGGCGCCCCTGACGGGGCAGCTCCTCTAAAAAGTGCTCCCCCTGTTACAAGTTCCAGGAGAAACTAGCAAAGGGTCCTTCAGAGAGTATCCTGTAGCTCGCCCTGCGCCTTCTCCCTCCCTCCCTGCAGAGGGTTGCACGCTCGCCTACCTGGCCTGCTTGTCTGGTTCGACTGAACACAGACAGGGCACCCAGCCGCTTCTCTGATTCGTAAACTTGGTTTATAGCGTTGTAGGAACCAGCCAGCAATCCCAGCTAAGCCTGTGATACTGAACCCAGCCAGAACGGGGGGGGCTCCATCCTGTCACTTCACGAAACTGCTCCTGGGGTCCCACAACGCGCTAGCCAAGGCTAGATGGGGGTGGGGGTAGGGTCCAGCCTGTGGTGGGAAACAGCCCTTCTCCTACCTAGGAGGTGTCACCAGGTGGTTGACTGGCGTGAGCGCAGCATGCCATGTGCACAGCAGCTGTGGCTGGCGGACCGGGTTTAGATTTGGCATGTTGAATCATGCCCTTAAGGGGGAACCCCCACCCCAGAAAGAAGCCCTCCTGCTTGGAGACTCACTGTTTTGGGGAAAGAGGCATCTTCTGCCCTTCCCCGTGGAAGACCCCAGCCCCGGAACGGACGCCCAGGTGTCCCGTTGCTTCTGGAAGGAAGTTGCGCGCGTTCTCCGCTGCAGCTGGCGAGCCACAGCTCTGACGTCTCTCTCTTTCTCTCCGCACAGCGCCTCCCCGCGAGCCCAGCTTGATGTGCCGGTCCAACAACTACCCCATTGGGTTCTACTGCAGTTGGCACCTGCCCAGCCCAACCTACATTCCCGACACCTTTAACATCACCGTCATGTAAGTGGGGCCTTCAGGCGGGGGAAGGAGCGTCCGCCCGCCAGCCGCGCAAGCCAGCATCTGGCGGAGCAAGGGGGTGCTCTGTCACAGATCCGGCTCGGGGCTCGTCCGGTCTCCTTTCCGGCCTTTCGAGCCTCGAGCCCCAGACACGCGGGGCAGCCCTGGCCCTGCTTGACGCACGGGTGCATTCTGGGAAGCCAGACTGTGGGGCTCTGGGCATGGGGCAAGCCCACTTTGCGTTCCTCCAGCCAGCTGGGGCTCCAGAAGTGCAGACAGGCGTGCCGTGCAAAGCGCTGCGACTGCAGAATTACGGCTGAGGAGGGCTTCCCGAATGTATTTTTTTTACTCGGGAGCTTCGCTGTTCTAGTGCTTTAAGGTTTTCAGTTCTAGTCTTTAAAGTTTTATATACCCTTACTTTAACAAAGCGTTTACGATTATGACTGCTTTTATACTATTTTGGTAAGCCTCCCGTAGCTGTTAAGGAAGTGGAGCACCTTTTCTAAATAAAATAAATCAATAAATAAAACCAGGTTAACAAGATGCAGTTCCTGAGTTTGTGTTATGTGCTGTTCCTAAGGAAATAAAGCACATGAGAGCTTGCATTCAACTATCCACCTTCATCTTAACCTAGCCTAGGTCACTGTGTGAACGTGGCTGGTGAGTGCTCCATATTTTCACCACTTCTTCAGTGTAAATTTCATTCCTCATGGTCTTTTCTAAGAACTGACATGCAGAGCCTCCCTTGCATGCACGCTTACCACTTAATTTTCACGTATGCAGATTGGCTCACTTACTTGAGCCTGCAAGGAGCAATTTCTCAGAAGTGACCTCATCTCTACAGGAAGTACTTTCATTTGGTTTCATCCATGCTGCCTCAGTAAGACTGTGAATCCCCATCATGCTTCTCCCAGGGTTGGCTTAATGATGGTTTATGGAATTAATCCAGTTTCTGGGTTCATACAACACATTGAACCCTGAACTAATGACTGAGGCCAAATCCACGCAATGCATTCCTCTCAGCTGAGGCTCCCCAGCTGGCGTGTCATGCAAACCCAACCAAGATGAGCAAGGGTTAGGGGGGACAGGGAGAGCAGCTGGGCTTTTTCAGCAAACTGGGAAGGGGGGGGGCAAGCCACTGCCCCCCTCGGTTTCTGTCACATCTGAAGCTCTCTAAGGCAGGGTTCAACCCAGCGGGCATCCCGGGGTGGGACCACAGTAAGCGGCCTCGTGCCTGGCATCTGGTACGTCATCCGCATCCTTTGGGGGACGGGGCGTGGGACGCCATCCCGGCTGTTTTACGACCCCCTGGCCCAGACCTCATTTTGCTCCGCCTGGCTCTCAGGTCTGAAGCCCCCGGTTCTCCATCTGGGGATCAGGCTTCCTCCTCTCCAGTTCTTGCCTTGCAAGATGGAAAGGAGAGCTTCCCTCTTGCAGAAAACCTTCTTGTTGCCAGCTAACTGAGACCTCTGTCTCTGAGCTTTCAGCGGTGATTAGAATCTGGACTAGGGTGTTTGTTTGCGCAACGTACAGAATTGTTTCTGCTTGAGAAAGTCCACAGCGCTGGCTGCCCTGTCTGGATCTTTAGCCTTTTATTTCCATCCCCCCAAAATACCCTCCCTCGATTTAAGCCAGGCCTTAGCTCTGGCACCATCCAGGTCGTTTGTTTATTTTATTCCATTTGTATAGCCCCCCATCTCAAACCAGTGACTCTGGGTGGCTGTACACATTGAAAATTTAAGTAATTTCTATATTTAAATAAATGCAGCGTTTGCCTCTGGACATACAGTGCGTAGGGTACCTTTCATGCCCCGGCCACATCTGAGGCTCCAGAGAGAGCCAAGTTACCAAGCCCTGAAAAGGCTGGGCAGGAAAACTGCGCAGAGCACAGACCTTCACTTATTTCCTCTCCCCAAACCAGCACAGACTCCTAAATGCTTGGCTGCTGAGCCGGGCACCCTGTCTCTGGACTGGCATCGGGACTCGACCTCTGGGCAGCCCAGCCTCCCTGCCAGTCCAGCAGGCGAGAAGCGCAATCCGGCCCTTCTCGGCCTGGCTCAGGGAGGTGTACTGGAGAGCATCTCCCGTCACTCCCAGCCGTAACAGGCTTGGTAGTTGGGAATTGTGGGCTTTGTAATCCTGTGGATCTGGAGGATGCCCCGGCGGGGTAAGGCTGCCCTAACATCTGCTTCTGGCTTATCTGGGTGGGTCTCGCATTCCTTTAGGCCCAGAACTGCGCAGCCCACCCGAGATCTTGCTGAGATGGTTGGACTGGAGGCACCGGAGATTTTAACCAGGACCTTTAGCTGTTTTTCTGGTGCCTCTGGAAGCTGGCTTCTTCTGGGGCCCCGGGGGCCCCGTTTTCTGCACACGTAGAGAGGAGGCCGGGGAGGTGGGGAAAGCTTCACTCTCCCCCACCTGCAAGGTGGGGACTGATCTTTAGGGGCCAAAGCTGCCTTTAAGGTTGGGGGCTGCAGGGATGTCACTGGCAGGGGGGTCTTGAGGCAAAGCGAGGGAGGGTCTGTAGAAGTGGAGAGATCCGGGATCTTTGGTAGCTTTGCAGAGTCCTGATTTTTTAAATCACGTCTGAGGGATTCCCAAACATGGCGCTCGACAAATAGGTCCCTCCAGGAGGAAGGGCTGAGGGGAGGCGGTGGACCGGTGCCAATGCTGGAGGGGGCACCGTGGCATCTGGTGTTGGGGACTCTGCAGGCATGTCTGCAAGGGGGTCAAAACAGTCAGGAGGGCAGCATTCAGCTGGGTGGCTGAAGCCGTGCCCCTCTTCCACAGTGCATGTGTCCTTCTCCCCCGAGGGCCTCGCGGACAGCAGCCCGACCGCCTTTTCCTTCCCTCCCCAGACATGACGCCCAGGAGATCGTGTGCGAGAAGGAGCCCGTGCCCAAGAACAGGTGCTACATCCGCTACCCCCACCTCTTCTCCACCAAGAAGTACAAGGTGATCTTGACCGTCACGAACGCCCTGGGCAGCAGCTCCACCACCATCTCCTTCGATGAATTCGCAATCGGTAAGTGCAGCGGTCGGCCCCCGCCCCATTCCCCCGCCCAGGATCTCAAGGGCCGGGACCCGAACTGAAAAACCCTCCAAGGAGCAGGGGGGGAGCAGGGGCACCACACCGCTTGGGGGCTGTGGCCTCTGGCGGAAGGAGGGGCCGCCCCCCACCCCGCCTCCAACCATGACAGAATCCTCTCTTTTCCAAGCAACGCGCCAAACCAAGAAGCCTCTTGGGGTTGTTATTCCTGGGGAAGAATTCATTAGGCGACGAGAGGGCTTAGCTCCTTCTGACCGCAGCTCACAAGCTGGTGAAAAGGGTGTCGTTGGAAGCTACATTGCAGTGTGAAGCCAGGAGTAAGTTGCACATATACAGGCTTGGGAGTCTCCACTTCGGTCCCCCTTTTAAATTTGCAAATCATCCATGTTGGATTTGCTGTTAGAACAGCCACTTTTTCTACCCGCTGTACAGAGCAATTTCTCAGCCTTGGCAGCTTTAAGATGCGTGGACTTCAACAAGACAGCGTGCTGGCTGGGGAATTCTGGGAGTTGAAGTCCACGCATCTCAAAGCTGCCAAGCTTGAGAAACACTGGTACAGAGAAAGAACGAAGGCACTGAGAAGGTGATTCGCTCAAGACCAACTAATGGCTGGCTTCATGGAACACCCTTACCTGGCTTACTGAAAGAACCCATTTTCTCCTAAGTTAGCCAAACAGTCTAGATTTCCACACGATGCTACCCCACACGGAGACAAGCCAAAGTTAAGACTAGCCAAGCTTAGCATCATCTGCTAGGTCTTTAACGTGCCCAGGCTGCACCCCTTTCGCTAACGGGCAGCAAAATGCCTCCTGTCATCCACGGGCATTCAGCTCTTACGCTGTGGGTCTCCTGATTACCTGCTCCTTCCCTGGCCCAGATGTGGCACCTTGTCTGAGTATGAACGGGGGAGGGGAGATTCTTCCAGAGGTGGCTGGGAGGAACAATCCTCGCCAGCCACAGTCCTGCCCGGATTCTCCGGCGGGAAGCCCCCTTCCTCCCAATGCCAGTCGGACGGGAAATGGGGAAGCGCTTTTTTGCTCTCCCCTTCCGCAGCTGCACTCTGCAAGCGATTAGCCGCCGACTGCGAGGAGTCGCGCCACATTTCCATTCCAAATTGCGGCAGAAAGAGGTGGCAACTCTTGACATCTGCTGCTGCTGCTGCTGCTGCTGCCCGCCACAGGACTGCCGACGCCCCGTCTTGTCCCAGAGAAGCCGCTTGCTTAAGGATGCCTTCGCACAGAGGGATGCAGGGGCCCAGGAGGAGGGAGCGCTCAGTCGGGACTGCAGGAGCGAAGCGGGCGAGCCCACGGCCAAGCGCCTCCGGGGCCCTTCCCTGAGGACCCCCGGAGCCTTGGAGAGTGGCTTTTCGGACCAGCTGAGCAAACAGTCAGAACTGAGAGAGGGTCAGGTTGGGAAGCAGAAAATTAAAAAGCATTAACGAGCAATTGAGCCTGCGAATGAAGCCTCAGGTTTCTACTTAGGAAAGCATTTTGTGCGACATTAAATGCTCCTTGCAGGGAAATGTGCAACGGGCAGTGCAGGTTCTGTGTAATCAGAAGGAGCATCGGTGGTAATCAGGGAAAGCTGGATGGATCAGAGGCAGCGGAAAGGGCTTTTCATCAAAGATGCAACAGGTATCGCATCTCTTTTTTCTTTCCCAAATGGATATTTAGGGGCAATTTCTCCACATGACACCTTTTCACTCTGTTTGCTTTGCTGTGTCGGTATGCCTCCTTAGCAAGGCTGCAGTGGCTGAGATATCTTCACACAACACGCGTGCCCCGGCTGCTGAACGGATCTATTTTTCCGAGTCCATACAGTTTGTCTGACGCTCAGCTAACCAAATGGGCTGGGTGTGCACCGCGTCCAAAGCCACAGGGGAAGCGAGCCAATGTGGAAACTTTGCATATTGCACCAATACAGCAGCCGCATCGATAGTTGCAACCGCCCACTTGCATTGCTGGGTTCCATCCTGTCCCAGAACCAGTGGGAAATGCTGCTGCCGTAAACCTTGCCGCCCCATAGCCTGCCCTTACCGTGCACCCAGCATGGGATTCTGCCGCGCTGCTCTCCGTACAGTTTGACACCGAACGTTCAGAGGATTTCCCTCGGTGGCCCTCTTAGCTGAAAGAAAACACTGCCCTGGATACTGCCAGCCCTTCCAGGTAGACCAGACTAGGACGCCAGCGTTATAAATGCTAATACTGCTTCGTTATAAGTAATGGTATCTTGTAAGCGTGCGTGTGTGCCCACTCCCCTCCATTATCTTCATGAGAACTGGGGAGGGTCACGTCTGAGACGCTTTCTCAGATTCCGTTCCTGCCCCGGACTCAGATTTCTTTTATCTGATCATCGCCTCGGTTGCCGTTCCTCCCAGTTTTTCCTAGGTACTTGGGGTGCTGCAATTTTTAAAGAATGTCTTTTCCACGGCACAGTCGCCTGACTGGCCTTTGGTCGAGGCTTACTGGGGTGGGTTCACCGTGCGACCCTTCCGCAGTTCATCCCGCAGGAGGCGGCAAAGGGCCGGAGGTCTTCGGCATCGCGTGGCCGCCACCTCACGGTCGCCCAGAGCTGTGCAGCCCAGGGGCAGCGGCTGGGTGGAGCTCACGGAAGAGTGGCAGTCTGAGGAGAGGGCTTTGCGTGGGGTGGGGTGGGGTGGGGGGAGAGTCAGGGCGACCGGCAAGTTGCCCTAAGAACGCCACTGAAGGAGGGGAAATGAGGCTTCCCCGGGGCAGCAGGTGAGGGGAATGCAAGAGCCGAGGTCTGTCAGTCACATACCGTAAGCCTGGGGTGGGGTGGGGTGGGCTGGCCAGGCCCAGGTCTGTGGGTCAACTGAGCCATGTGAACCCAAAGAATGGCTGTGGAACTAGAAGGTGGCCCGGCAGACCTGCCGGACCAACTGGGGCCAAGCTGATCGCCAGCCTGACTCGCCTTCCTCCGCCATGTGCTGTGGATGGAAGGGGGCAAGAGGGAAACGCCACTTCACCTCGACCCATGTTTGGGCTGCCTCATGAGGTGCCAACAGAGCAGTGAAGCTGAAGGCGGAAAGCCCGGTCCAGACGGCATCGCCGTGAAAAGAAGGGAGCTTTTATCTCCTCAACAGTCTGATGATGAAGCGCGGGCCTGGGGGGCAGGGACGGTGACATCATATGCCTCATGAAGGCATCACGCAAATTACAATCGTGGAACACGTGACGTCATCGTGGCCTCTACCAGGCGGCTCCGTGTGGCAGGTTGGACTGGGCACTGAACGTCATGGCTTAATGGGGGTCGGCCGCTGTCACGTTCTTTCTGCTGTGCCAGACTGGGTCTCATTTTTAGCCCCACTTTTGGAGCTCGGCACCAATCACCCTACACGTTCCTCCCCATGTAACACTTACCCATGATTAACTGAACTGTGGGGTACTCCGTGAACCCGGTTTTCTGACTGCTCACAACCCGGATTCTGACCTGGGCATGCGGACTACTTTCACACAACAGGTGCCTTTTTGGCGGGTCTGAGCATCAGGCAAAAACGGCCTACAGATGAATACATCGTGCCAAAATGCAAACAACGGCCTGTGCTCATTAAAATATTTATAGCTTGCTCACCATCCAGCGGGTCTGCTAGTGTGTTACAATCCACAAATAAAGTAAAATAGAGCCAAGCATAATAAATAATGAATTAATTTAAAAGACAATATGCCAGACAGAGGCATTTTGTCCCCTAAGAGGTAAACGGTCGGGCACTGGGCACGAAGTCCTCGGGGCAAGAGAAAAGGCCCCGAAGGGCAAATCTTCTCGGGGCCACCTGGGCTCCTGCGCTGGGGGGCCACAACAGAGACAGTGGGGGGCCACCAGGCCAGCTGAGTCCCGAATGCCCATCTTTCTGGGCCCGTGCCCCAGCAGCCACTAGAAGCAATCAGCTGGCTTCGATGGGCGCCGTGCCAGGCAGGGCTGATGCTGCGACGCTGCAGCTGGGAAGGCTTTGTAAGTGTGACTTTGTGGCGGGAAGGGGTGTGTGCGTAAGCCGTGTTGCTGGATCCCGAGCTGTGGGGTAACGGCATTAATGGAGAACACAGCCTTGACAGATGGTGTTTGCATTCTCGATGCAAATGCAACAGGGAAAGAAAGGGAATTCTCCGTCCCCAGCTTCTCTAATGGGAGCCGTGGGCAAATTATGGGAAGCAAACAGCCGGCATTAAAAATGTAACATCCTGACGGTGTTAATTATTCTCCACATCAAAAGCCATTCAGGGCGGATGCTGCTGCTGCTGTTGCGCCATGTGACGTGCAGATGATGATCCAAAATATGCCGAGGGAGACATCTGGGGATGTTTGAGGCTTGATTGCTCTCGGTGCAGCAGGAGGGTGCCTCCCCGGCACCTGCGCCACTTGGGGTGGAAGGGGAGCCTCCGAGCGGGGATGGCGGGGAGGGGTGGGCGAGGAGGCGGCCCTGGCTGGCAGGAAAGGGATGCAGGCAGCGCATCGGAGACACGAGGCGAGTGACAAGGCTTGCCACCCTGCGCCGGAGGAAGCGGGTGAGAGGATGCCCGCCTTCCTTGCCCCGGGAAGAGCGGCCGTCCCACCTGGTAGACTCGCTTTCTGCTCGCCCGCTGCTAAGTGGGACCCGTTCTGCAGGAGTCCCAGGCAGAGTCCGTGCTTGGCAGCAGAGCTGAGACGTTGAGCGAGGGTTGGCGGGCTGCAGCCGCTCCCGAGTCCATCCTGGATTCTGATCCCTGCGGGCTCCATTCCCCCATTCTCCTCCACAACACCCGGATAGGGCCCTTCCGTGTTTCCTTCTGTGTAGCTTTTGACAGAACTGGTTGACCCGATGTCCATGTCACCGAACGACCAAAGCACCCCAGGAGCCAGTTAGGCCCCGGGATCCAGCAAGGATGGAGCTGAAACCCGGGGAGGGCTAGCAGAACTGCAGCTGCTGCCGAAGCACCAAAATGATGTTAAGGACGTCTCAGGAAGAAGCCCGGTCAGAACCA